AGCCCAGATAGAGGAAATAGAAGCTGAAGACAACAGCCACCGAATCGAGAGACAAAACACTATATTTGAAAGATTGTTAAACGTTCGAAATGGGTTTAATCGACAGGAGAAGGGACGTGTTTATGTTCGGATCGTGTCTGGTTCCAGTTCTGGTTCTGTTGGCCGCAGCTGTGACCGTGAACTGCGGTAAGTTCGGGCGAAATCGAAAGTAAAAAAACTTGTGACGAACATTTATTTTACGAACGTGTTTGGCAAAAAATGTTTTATTTTTAGATTAAGATTATATTTTTTCGTCCAGGACAAGGAAACAGGCGAAATGTAGCGCAGATATAAACATCGACTTTAGTCCAGACCTTGGCCTCCGATATATCGAACCTGAAAAATGACAACATGTCGACGGCTGCTGTGGCGTTCGGTACACCGTGTTGAAAGCACTTTTACTATATTTATTTGTTGACGATGTATCGATATTTGTATCGATCCGTCTCAACTAAAACAGTTTGTTTTTTTGAACACATTACCGAATTTAAAACCTAAAGCCTGACGTCAGTCTCTGTGGTCGTTGTTTGGTTCAGGTTTTAGTTCGGTTTCCTGTTCGTTTGTGTCAACTTATCTGAAGTTAAGTTGGAAATTAGCTGTTAATTAATCGTAACATAGTTCAGTGTGTGATCCAGTTCGGCCTCCTTCAGGTTTTTTTTGTTGTTGTGGGTGAAACGTTGTTGTTTTTTACTGTGAACAAATAAAGAATGATTTTCTGTCACTTCTCCAGAAACTCACTCTCTGACCTACATCTACACGGCCTACTCCAAAGAGCCGTCCACTCCTGGTCTTCACAAGTTCACAGCCATGGGTCTGCTGGACGGCAGGATAATCGACTACTTTGACAACGACCATCCACTCAAAGTTCCCAAACAGAAATGGATGGAGGAGCAGGAGGATAAGGACTACTGGAAGAAGGGGTCTGATACCCGCAAGAGCAAGATGGACTGGTTCAACATCAACATCGGAATCTTGATGGATCGGATGAGACAAAACCAGTCTGGTCCGTCACAAGTTCTTTTGGAAGTTTTTAGATCAATTACTCTGCCGCACCAAAGTCCATGGAGAAAATCAGAGATTTTAGTTCAGACCAAAGTCCATGGAGAAAATCAGAGATTTTAGTTCAGACCAAAGTCCATGGAGAAAATCAGAGATTTTAGTTCAGACCAAAGTCCATGGAGAAAATCAGAGATTTTAGTTCAGACCAAAGTCCATGGAGAAAATCAGAGATTTTAGTTCAGACCAAAGTCCATGGAGAAAATCAGAGATTTTAGTTCAGACCAAAGTCCATGGAGAAAATCAGAGATTTTAGTTCAGACCAAAGTCCATGGAGAAAATCAGAGATTTTAGTTCAGACCAAAGTCCATGGAGAAAATCAGAGATTTTAGTTCAGACCAAAGTCCATGGAGAAAATCAGAGATTTTAGTTCAGACCAAAGTCCATGGAGAAAATCAGAGATTTTAGTTCAGACCAAAGTCCATGGAGAAAATCAGAGATTTTAGTTCAGACCAAAGTCCATGGAGAAAATCAGAGATTTTAGTTCAGACCAAAGTCCATGGAGAAAATCAGAGATTTTAGTTCAGACCAAAGTCCATGGAGAAAATCAGAGATTTTAGTTCAGACCAAAGTCCATGGAGAAAATCAGAGATTTTAGTTCAGACCAAAGTCCATGGAGAAAATCAGAGATTTTAGTTCAGACCAAAGTCCATGGAGAAAATCAGAGATTTTAGTTCAGACCAAAGTCCATGGAGAAAATCAGAGATTTTAGTTCAGACCAAAGTCCATGGAGAAAATCAGAGATTTTAGTTCAGACCAAAGTCCATGGAGAAAATCAGAGATTTTAGTTCAGACCAAAGTCCATGGAGAAAATCAGAGATTTTAGTTCAGACCAAAGTCCATGGAGAAAATCAGAGATTTTAGTTCAGACCAAAGTCCATGGAGAAAATCAGAGATTTTAGTTCAGACCAAAGTCCATGGAGAAAATCAGAGATTTTAGTTCAGACCAAAGTCCATGGAGAAAATCAGAGATTTTAGTTCAGACCAAAGTCCATGGAGAAAATCAGAGATTTTAGTTCAGACCAAAGTCCATGGAGAAAATCAGAGATTTTAGTTCAGACCAAAGTCCATGGAGAAAATCAGAGATTTTAGTTCAGACCAAAGTCCATGGAGAAAATCAGAGATTTTAGTTCAGACCAAAGTCCATGGAGAAAATCAGAGATTTTAGTTCAGACCAAAGTCCATGGTCCTCTTCCTCCTCCTGGTCGTCGCCCTGCTGTTGATTTGGCTGCATAAAAAGAATAAACTGAGTAAGTGATGGAGACAGAGATGAACTAAGGATGCTGAGGCTCGGCGACACGTGGCCTAAAACACATGGACTAAAAGTTAGCTGATGTTTGCTCAGCTATAGCTACAAGTTAGCTGAGATTGACTGTTGGTTTTCTAACCATTTTGGAATAAATAAAAAAAACCAACAATTTAGCTACTTGTTTAGCCGTTTAGCTAACCTCTAGTTACTGTTGTAGTTAATGTTTAAGCTAACGTGTTCTTGTGCAATTGTTTTTTCCACAGCTTGTTTTGGAAACACAAACGAGAAGAAAGAACTCTCCCAAGGTGAATAACACGGTGACCAGTCCGCATGTTAACTCACCCATGGTCAACTAGTTAACCTAGTTAGTTAACCCGTCCTCCAGGCTCTAAAAGTCTTTGTTGGTTTGTTTTGGTCCTCAGGCTCAGAGAATTCTCTGGACTCAGGGAAGTCGTCGGTCGGTGAGTCTTTGTTTGTACATTTGTTTCCCCACAAAAAAATCAGGGAAACATTTCTTCACTTCCTGTTTGCTTTATGTTTCTGTTTTTTTTTTAAACAAATCTGTGAAAATTGTTTTCTCTGTGTTTTTTTACAACTGGAAAATCTGATGTGTATGAAGACAAACCACTGATAAAAGGTAAACACATGAGTTTTTAAATCCAGGTTCAGTCAACAAATACTGCTAACATTTAACATCTGCCCTTGTTGTCACCTCTAGTGGCTAATGGAGGACAGAACCTGGTATCTGGAGAGCAGCAGAACCTGGTCTGAGGTCTGGACTGGACCAGAACAGAAGTCTGGACGTTCAGTTTGAGAATGAATTTATAAACAAACAGCACTCGAGTATTTTTGGTGTCTTTTATCTTAAATGTTAGCAAAAAGAGAGTAATTCAGGGAGTGGCTTCAGTTTTTTGCCAGAAAATTAATGAACCAGAATAATTAGGGTTTGTAAAATAGTTGAAATTTAGCTTGAAATAAGCGGTGTGTCGGCTTGTGTAACAGCTAACTGTTAGCTTAAGGTTATATTGTTCAAAAGACATTTAATCTGTTAAAAGTTAGCCAAAAAGATGTTCATTTAGATAAGCTTAGCCTAAAATGCAGTTAGCTTCATTAACCACAGCGATCGCAAGTTATTTTTCCACAGGTGTTAATTATTTCACTTTTCTTGTTATGCCATATATATATACACATATACATACATAGATATACATACATACATACACATATGTGTTTAGCACCATTTTCATTTGTATTTTTTTTTCAATAATAATAAAATTAATAAAATATTAATTATAATAATATTTTGTTTCTAATAATCCTGGCATTGAACATTTGTTCTATTGAATTTCACTTGTATTTGCTGTTCATTTTATTCATTTCTAATATTGACATGGTTGTTGGTTGTTGATTATTTTGGAGACTATAAAGGATTTGCCTTCAATAAAGTTCTAAATAATAAAAAAAACTCATCACATTGGTTAAAGAAATAAAAATACGCAGAGAAGGCCCATCACTGACGTCACAACAGCGGTAGACGCTTCCGCTTCTTGTTAAAGACTTCAAATTAAAACCGGATAGAGCTGTGCTCGGCAGCTGAATTACTTTTTTTAAAAACTTTTCTAGTTGTTTGTATGTTCTATTTTTATTTCTTTCTTTATTATTTTTCCACTATTCACCACCGTGGTTTGTGTCTCAACATAAAGACGGATTCATGTTCTTCACCGTCAGTGGCTGAGCCTCAGCTCCGACTGCTGCTCCTCCTCCATGGAGTTTTCTGGTGTTGTTGTTGTTGTCATGCACGTTTTTCTAGGAAAGGTTCGACACTGGAGGTAAATGTTAAAACAAACAAAAATCCACATGACATTTCAATCGGAAACAGGACCGATACCACAGCTAAAAGACGGCTAACGGAGACCAGAAACACCGGAAACAATAAAGACAGTCGAAATTAGTTAGCCAATAAAACAAAAGTTTAATTAAATAAACATATAACACATCAACTAAAATACAGTATGTTTACTACGCTAATAAATTAAAAACATGTTTAAGAATTGTCTTGAAAAGATAGGAAACAATATCTACGACTAGTTTAAAGCTAACTAAGAATCTGTCATGAAGGTTAATACAAACTTAAAAGATTTCAAAATGTCCCTGGTGACACGGAGGTGACCAGACGTCACCCACATAAAACAATAACGAACGGCTTTCAGCCCATGTGCTAATATCGCCCGAGAACCAATACTTGGATATTCATGTCTTGTTTACGCGCTTGTTTAAGGCTTTTATTTGTAAAATCTCAGACCGGAAGTAGTTGTCATCCTTCGCTCGGTTATTGCGGCGCATTAGAAAATATCATTAGAGTTGTTGGTCTGTCGTTGTCTTTTTGGACAAAATCTGTTGTTTTTTGTGCGCAAATAAACGGAGTAGACCATGCGGCTAATGTCGGTGTGGACACGAACCGGGGCTAACCCTCGGTAACTGCCGTGTTTCCGGTGCTGGAGCCGATGGGCTGCTCCGTGGATTTGGCTAAAAAAAAGGCGGAAGGCTGAAGAGAGCGAAACGGTGATGCTTTACCGTCACCGCCGCTAAACAGCTAACAGGCTAAAAGTTAACAGGCTAAGTGACGATGAAGGAGAGCCGCTTCTCCAGGTGAGTCCACATCCACACAAAGGGCCCCGGGGCCGGGTCAAAACCACAGGTAGGACCGAGGCTCCGGGAGTTAGCTGCTGTAAGCTAGTCTGTGTGTGTGTGCGTGTGCGCGCGTGTGTGGCCATGGCCATCGTTCTAGTCATTGGCTGTGATATGAAAGTCCAGCGTGGTTGTGTTGTTGTTGTTGTTGTTGTTGTTGTTACTGGAGGTAAATGTTAAAACAAACAAAAATCCACATGACATTTCAATCGGAAACAGGACCGATACCACAGCTAAAAGACGGCTAACGGAGACCAGAAACACCGGAAACAATAAAGACAGTCGAAATTAGTTAGCCAATAAAACAAAAGTTTAATTAAATAAACATATAACACATCAACTAAAATACAGTATGTTTACTACGCTAATAAATTAAAAACATGTTTAAGAATTGTCTTGAAAAGATAGGAAACAATATCTACGACTAGTTTAAAGCTAACTAAGAATCTGTCATGAAGGTTAATACAAACTTAAAAGATTTCAAAATGTCCCTGGTGACACGGAGGTGACCAGACGTCACCCACATAAAACAATAACGAACGGCTTTCAGCCCATGTGCTAATATCGCCCGAGAACCAATACTTGGATATTCATGTCTTGTTTACGCGCTTGTTTAAGGCTTTTATTTGTAAAATCTCAGACCGGAAGTAGTTGTCATCCTTCGCTCGGTTATTGCGGCGCATTAGAAAATATCATTAGAGTTGTTGGTCTGTCGTTGTCTTTTTGGACAAAATCTGTTGTTTTTTGTGCGCAAATAAACGGAGTAGACCATGCGGCTAATGTCGGTGTGGACACGAACCGGGGCTAACCCTCGGTAACTGCCGTGTTTCCGGTGCTGGAGCCGATGGGCTGCTCCGTGGATTTGGCTAAAAAAAAGGCGGAAGGCTGAAGAGAGCGAAACGGTGATGCTTTACCGTCACCGCCGCTAAACAGCTAACAGGCTAAAAGTTAACAGGCTAAGTGACGATGAAGGAGAGCCGCTTCTCCAGGTGAGTCCACATCCACACAAAGGGCCCCGGGGCCGGGTCAAAACCACAGGTAGGACCGAGGCTCCGGGAGTTAGCTGCTGTAAGCTAGTCTGTGTGTGTGTGCGTGTGCGCGCGTGTGTGGCCATGGCCATCGTTCTAGTCATTGGCTGTGATAT